GTGCTCTTGGAGTTAGATATCTTTTGACTGTGATCTGAGAGCACCCACATGTCTGCGGCAGACCTAACTGCTACTAGTTAAAGGAAAAAAGTTGAAAATTACACAACGTGATGAATTCATTGAAGCAAGCATTAAAATATGGAAAGATATTGAGAAAGAGGCGCCAGTAGTCTTCTTTGTGATTCCATAGAGGCGTGAAGCAACTGATAACCTAGATAGAGAGTTCAATATATGGAAAATACTGGTGCTACATCATACTTACTTTTTGATAAGGTAAATAATTTTATAAATTTTGGGGAAGTTCCTGTATACAAGCCGTATACCAATAAATAGGGTATCTGCATCTAAATATGATTCCCTACGAAAGTACCCTATCATCTATACAAATAGGAATCTAATGGTACACCAAAAAGAAATCAAACACGAGGGTATATTGTAGCTCATTATATGAGGAGGCTCAGTTAAGCAGGATGTTAGGAACTGTTCTATGAAAAACTATAGCAAAACCTTACTGTTATTTAGGTTTCTTCTCTTACACCCTGTTCCTAAATAATATGTTCGATATCACCATTATGTATTACTCACCTATGTCCCTTTTTATATGAGTTAATGGGAGATAGTGTAAGATGTTATTTGATTTCTATATTATTTATTAAAACATGACTTTTGTAATAATGGTGATATTAAATGTTAAAACAGTTACCCGGAAGGTAGTTTGATAAAGAAACCACCACATCTAAGTTTTAATTTGTGTGGGATAATGTCAAACATGTTTTGACGTTGCATAACAGAAAGAAGTGGCATATGAGTTTGGCCAGAATAGTGCTTTCTTGGAGGGGCTGGGCTTGGGGAGGGTTGAGTTTGGAGAACAATGGGCAGTGAAAAACAGTCGTTCCCTTTGCTGGTTATTATGATTGTGTCCCCCTCACCGTTGCTGGGTCATCTGGGATCCTGGTAATTATGGCTGAAACAGTTTGGCGGCATATCAGTACAGCAGAATATCAGAGCGGAGAATATAAGCCGCTGTTTTGTCTGTCTGTAGCACAAATTAACAAACCATTCAGATTAACCAATGTCATCACTGTTACTGGATATTAAGTGAAGAATTCTATTCCCTCCTTGTAGCATCATTGAGTCGGAGTAATACATGTGGAAATTGCTCTTGGGATGTGGCTTCAGGCTTATGTGTGATCTTACTGCGCCTTCTCTAACTTTGCTGATTTCAAAGAGGCAACCTCATTAGTTAACTTTGTCAGTACAATGTTTCCTCAAAAGATAAAAGTAAACCGTTTTGTGCATCTTATATGGGATCACTTTGTCTTATCTAAGCCATGGCAGCATGTCTGTATTTGTCGTCTCCTTGCTGTTTGCCCTACAAATCTACCTTAATAATTAAAATAAAATTCCAAAAAGAACAGAAGGAATGAAATAGGAATATCCACCTTGGCACTTGCTGTAGAATATATGGGATAGTTGCTACTTGCTAGTGACTATTGGCATATGATTAATTTTCTAGTTTCATGCACTTCTGTACTAAGGTGTAATTCAGTACTCAATATTTAGATTATGAGAGGTCTTATTTTGACTAGTGTCATTCGCAATGAACTCTGCAGGTTTTGGCTGCCCATAGGTATGGAATTAAAAGAGTGATACTGCCAGAAAGAAACTTGAAGGATTTGGTTGAAATCCCAGCAACTGTGCTTTCAAGTCTTGAGGTAATTTGTTTGCGATAAGTACATCATCTTCTCAAAGACAAATGCCATACTTCGTTAATTTTCTCTCAGATAGCATGTTTTAGCAACAGTACATATCATTATAGGGTCATGATACGATAAATAGAGTGTTTGTGTGTGTGTTTAATTAATCTTTTTGCTTAACAGATAATACTTGCTAAACGAATGGAAGATGTACTGGACCAAGCGTTTGAAGGTGGTTGCCCATGGAGACAGCACTCGAAATTATGATACTTAACAGACTTCCTTTAGCTAACAGTAAGAAACTCTGCCAACAAACAGTTGGGGCATGTAGATCAGAGGCCAGAGCTCATGCCTAAAAGGAAATGTCAACACGATTAACACATGACAGATATCCAATAACATACATAACAGAAATCTCCGAAAATATTTACCGTGTATTATTCTTCGCTCTTATTCAGCTCTCTATTTATAAGTGATTATTCTTTTGAATATTTGTCACAATTCACGCTCTGTATTAAGTTTTTATTTGATTCAGCAAGGTCAGACTCTTTGCTGCTTGCTTTTCCAAGCATTCATATGTAATTTGCGATTTACTTTTATAGTTTGTAAATGTTAGAAAAAACTTCAAACCACTATTTGGTTTTGCTTCCTCTTTTTCTTTCCCTTGTTTTGCAAGAGTAGAATTTTACGATGAGCGATTGTGGGAGGGAACATGGATGCTATTAAAATGGAAGGTGGGATTAAGGCAGTTAAAATCCAGGAGCTTAAGTCAGTAGGTATATGGTATTAAAATGGAAGGTGGGATTAAGGCAGTTAAAATGGTAGTCTATCGGCTAGAACCAAGCTTCAACTGCGACAATTCGTTTTTCTTGTACCCGAGATCCAAGTCTCTTCATTTCTACAATCTCCTCTATCCACATGACTTTTCCAAGTAAGCTCTATATCGAAAGGGTTCATCAGTCACCTCGATTCATGTATTCAGATTGGAGTATAACATATAGTAATTAAGATGAACTTGGTACTTTGGAGATCTGGAAGTTTCCACTTCCAAATTGTTGATGATTTGCCTTGAGAAAAAGAGTGTTCTTAATTAATGTGTATCAATGTCGGTGCAAGAACTAGAAATTATTAAAAATAATACTAGAATGTTATATTCTAGATTTGAACCTGTGAATCCTCCCTGCCTTTTAAAGGTAAGGGCAAGATCTGCGTACACTTCCAGACTCCATATGTGGAAATACACTCGTTATGTTTTCTGCCTGAATAACTAATTTTGTGTCATAAAGCCACAAAAAAAGGAAAAAAAGGGACAAAGAACAAAAAAGCCTTTGGCTCTGAAATATCACTATCAGAGCCAGGTTTCGATCCTGGGACCTGTGGGTTATGGGCCCACCACGCTTCCGCTGCGCCACTCTGATTTTGTTGTTAGTCAACTGCTACGAATATAATATGTTATATGTTTCTGGTAAATGTTTTTAAATGACCGAATAGTTTTTGAGACTGACCTAACTAGGCTGTTCAAACTCCAAAGAGAACTCCTCTAGCTTAAAAAATAAATGGACGTTCCTTTATTTTGACACGGTTTTGTGTTTAATTTAGATTTACCGATACTGTTTGACGATTTAGTGTCTTAAAAATAAATAATGAATGGACCTATTATTTTTGTGAAAATTGTTTTCTCTTTGCACTTTTCATATTGCTCCTATTTAATCATTTTTATTGTAAAAATTGCACGGGGCTCCTTATTTGGTCGCCCCCATTTAACCTATACCCATATTTTTAAAATTATTTAATCTATACCCTAATTTTAACAACTTCAGACGCCTCCTCTTCTTCCTCCTGACCTATGCGCTCCTCTTCTTGTCTATCAAAATAACTTTTCAACCACTACTTTAATATATTCACTAATAAAATGTGAAGCCAAATTAACAACTTAACCTGCATTTGATCAAATACTATTATAAAATAACAAAACATAGTATTATTATTGTTCTCTATTTGAATTCAGAAACCCTGTCAACAGAAGGTAAAACGTGGGCTTCTGCAAATTTTACAATCCTTTGTTTTGCAAGCTCGAGATACAAATCCAAATGCATCGAGAGCGCAACAGATATTCTAAGTTCATCTTGTTATGTGTTTATCTCATACTGAATATACAGAAGTTCCAAACCTAGTATAAAGAACATGAAGAATTCCCCATGAGGTAAAGCTCGATGTGATGCCAAACCAGCTCTTAGTTACACTGAAAAGTTAATTTGTCCTGAAGTTTGCACTACAAATTGAAGAACTTCAGACTAATTTGTCTGAAGTTTGCACTATGAAGTGAGGGGAAACTGAAGTTTGCCCTTGCACTATGAACTGAAGTTCCTGAAGCTTGCACTACAAATTGAAGAACTTCAGACTAATTTGTCTGAAGTTTGCACTATGAAGTGAGGGGAAACTGAAGTTTGCCCTTGCACTATGAACTGAAGTTCCTGAAGCTTGCACTACAAATTGAAGAACTTCAGACTAATTTGTCTGAAGTTTGCACTATGAAGTGAGGGGAAACTGAAGTTTGCCCTTGCACTATGAACTGAAGTTCCTGAAGCTTGCACTACAAATTGAAGAACTTCAGAAGTTTGTACTATGAAGTGAGGGGAAACTGAAATTTTCCCTTGCACTATGAACTGAAGTTCTTGAAGCTTGCACTACAAATTGAAGAACTTCAGACTAATTTGTCTGAAGTTTGCACTATGAAGTGAGGGGAAGCTGAAGTTTTCCTTTACACTATGAACTGAAGTTTGTGTGATTGACTTTGCAAGTCAGGCCAAACTTCAGGCAAAAATATATGAAGTTTTGCTTTGATAAGGCTACACTTAAGGCAAAAAATTCTGAAGTTCAAATTTCAGACATAAAATTTTGCTACTTCAGGTCCGTATGCCTGAAGTTACCCGAAAAGTGAGTACGCTTGCAATTTTTTTTGCAAAGCAAGTATAGGTTAAAATGTGACCCAAAAACTGAGTATAGATGCAAATGCCCCAATTGAATTACTGAGCTATGCAAAATGGCCATTATCCTGTTCTATCCACATACGATATCAAACAAGAAAATTAAGAAACAAAGGTAAGTCAGTGCGTTCAATCTAATCTCACCAAATCTAAAATATGGTAATGCCTTGTAAGAAATATTTTCACTGTCAATGTACTGTGTACATAACTTAAATCTTATCCAAATAAAAGGAATCAGCACCCCCACCCCAAACTCCCCCCAAAAGGAGATATTTTAGAGATCTTTTATCAGATTTGCACCATTTTACAAGCAGAATTAAGGAGAACAAAATTGCATTGCGCTTCACTATTTTTAGGAGTAACATTAAGTTAAACAAAGAAATACTTGCTCCTAATCCATCTGTGCTATCTCAAAATTATCTGTAAATCACCTATACATTCTCCTCTACAAGGAGAAAAAACTCAATGAAAAAATCCACTTTCTAAATCTATCATCTTTGCTCTCTTCAAACACTAATTACATCAAAGAACACTGCACATGTATACCAATGCTTTTGTACTGATTTGGACATATATACAGGTCAAAATTCCAAGAAGTGCTATGCCAAAAATTTGCACAATTTCTCCATCCTATCCAAAGTAATATATTCTTCATGTCAAGAAGCAGCTTCATAGGCCCAAAATGTATCAGGATCCGGACTGAAGAGAGAAAAATCTTGAACTTCTAAATTTGCTATATGCCAATCAACAAATCGAGCTTGAACCGACTTAAATAGCAGCAGGATCGTAGGAAAAAGCCACCATTTGTCATCTTCCCTGACAATACAAAACGCTCAAACTTGTTAATACATTTGCTAACTAGTTTTAGAATGACGTTGTAGTTGATAAATATAGCTGAAAATGGTCTGTAAGTGAATATATTGATTTCAGCAGTGTTTTTCTGCCACTATTCCACCTCAGACACTGATGTTTAGCCATGTTATATGAAACAACTGCAGTTTCATTCTTATAAGCTCTCACTGGTTCTCGTTTGGGAACTACGATACAAATATCCCTCGCTTTAGATTCAACTTTTTTTTATCTCCCACGCATTGACTGGATGAGGTGAGGAGTGAGACAAGCGCTGGATATAGTAATATCAAAATTCTCACCTTTTCATACCCCACATGCTTGCCTCATCAGGGGGCTTCAATGCAGAAATTCCATAGTGGATGAAACCACATATAAAAGCAACAGCCTGCAGTAAGTCAAAAGAGATTCTGTCAAACAAGTAAAATAAGTTCCAGATCTAATCACCGGGACTCCTGTGCGTCAGCATCTACAATCAGCCTATCATTTTGGTCTAAATCACGTGTACTCATCCTCAAAGTTCGAAATTACTTCATTCTTGATTCAACTACTTTTCTCATTCTAGAATTGGACACCTTCATAAAGTTTCAACGAGAAGAAAAAAAATTGTTTTTTTACCCCTCTTACATGGAAACAGAAAACCATTGTTCTTTCACTTCATTTTTACATGTGCCTTCACAAGCCTTTTCAGTTCCTAGCTTATAATTTCCGGGGGGGAGAATAAGGATGAAAAGCATGAAAAGCAGATATTGACTTCCGAAAGACATCTTGTTTGGCGCTCTTAACCTCTCTAAACTTTAAACTAGAATTCAAGGTCACCTTTTTCTAGCGGCGTATGCAGCATTTTGGATAACCAGTGTCGAAGTTTTAAAAACTGAACTAATGAAAATTTACTATAATAAGATCATCTTAATAAAACACATCAACTACATTAATGTAATTGGTTTCGAAGATACAAGAGAATCACAAGAAAAAAAATATAGCGAACAATTTTTCATATTATTATTATTAACTTTTTCTAAAATGCTCTTTACTAAGCCACATTTGTATGGTTTTATTTAATACATATTTTTCTGAATTTCGCTGAATAAACTTTGCTGAATAGTTGGGGCTTTGCTTAGTGTCAGTTTGAGGTTATAAAAGAAAAGATGGTGCATCTGTTAAGAATTGAACTTGGAACCATTAAGAGGGCAAGGATATCATGTGACCACTGGCTGTTTGGTCAGCAGCGTCACGCTAATATATTTTTATCCTTGTCTCTTTTTAATCATTAATTACATATAATTTAGTGGAAATTTCAAGCAACACGGTGTCGGATTACACACTTGCATGAATGTAAGTCCGCCCCTGCCTTTTTCTTGACGCTTAATGGAGGCAACTCCAGTGAATGTATCAAAATTAAGCTCTTCAGTCTATTTAAACGAGGAAATGCTATATATAGATAATTAACTCACATAACTATGAAGTTCCGATCTTGGTAATCCNCAAAATTAAGCTCTTTTCAGTCTATTTAAATGAGGAAATGCTATATGAAGATAATTAACTCACATAACTATGAAGTTCCGATCTTGGTAATCCAAGAAACCATTTGAGTAGCAAATGACAGGAAAATTGACCATTCTTTTTCAGTCAATCATTCAATAAACAACATCTCAAACACAAACTAGTTGGAATCAGCTATGTGAATTCTATCCATTCCACTCTATTCTGGTCTATTTTAACAAACAACAACAACAACAACCCAGTGAAATCCCACAAGTGGGGTCTGGGGAGGGTAGTGTGTACGCAGACCTTACGCCAAGACGCCAAGGGGAGCCTTGGCGTAACTGGTAAAGTTACTGCCATGTGACCAGGAGGTCACGGGTTCGAGCCGTGGAAACAACTTCTTGCAGAAATGCAGGGTAAGACTGCGTACAATAGACCCTTGTAGTCTGGCCCTTCCCCGGACCCCGTACATAGCGGGAGCTTAGTGCACCAGGCTGCCCTATTCTAGTCTATTTTAACCAATACTAAATAAGTCGTCTTCTAAGAAAAATAAGGTGTTAATTAAAACAAGAGGTTCTTAAATTACACTTAACCATAAACAGACATATAAGTCTATAAAAAAACTAAAAACACTCGTAATAAATACCGGACCTAGTGTACATGTAACGCACTGATCCTTAAAGCTAAGCTAGAGGCTTTTCGCAACAGCTCTCTTCGTGTGAGTTTACCTCATTTCGTTAGCACTTTCAGTTGTCGTAGTATTGCACCTAAGGACTAGTTTCCATTGGAGGCTACGAATAACATGATCAACTTATGTTTTTTTGTTAAGGGACACAATCGACTTATCTTTTTCGATAAGGGGCATGATCAACTTATCTCAAGTAACCTTATTTAGTTTTATCCTCTATGGGTGCTACTTGTACCCTCTTTTGGATTTGATTTTTTGGGGTTATTGTGTACAAGAAGCCCAATAGTGACACTTTGCTCCCTTACTAACTCGAACCTCCAACCACTAGGTAAAAAACCAAGCTAGTTCTTTGTCGCCCTTATATTGTCTTTGTGTTCATAATATAGTCAGTTTTCCCATTTAAATGTACTCACATATGACTGACAAAGTTTAATACCATGACAATTAGAATATCTATTCTTACATATCATAACCAAGGCACTCTCTCTCCACTTGTTCAGCATCTTCCGTCTCCTTGATATAAATAACATAGAAAGTTACTTGGTCAGCCATCTATTCTGACCTATCCGAAGTACGTACTTCTAAAACTTGACAACAAGATTTTCCAACACATACATTTCATGACATCCGTAACTTAAAAAGGTCTAATCTACAAGTATAGTTGAGGTTTCTCTTTGTCAGGATGTAAGAGGATTTGTAGATTTTTCTCTGTGACTGATGAACAATCAATAAAAATAGCATCTACATCTCTTTTTTGATCTCACTATGTGTTGTCAAAACTTAATGGGACTCATCTTTAATAAGTTTAACTTAGTTCAAGTCTAGGTCCAGAAGTTTTTGCCCACCCAAAGTTGATTGTCGCCAGAAGTTCTAGAACAGTTCTATTGTAGAATGACATCATCATGTCACCAGATAGTATCATTATATGACATCTCAGTTAAATTACAGATGATCCATGCAAAATTTGATAATGAAGCATGCAAAGTGTAATGCATCCGTAGAGAAACTTACAACATTAGACAATGAGGTAGCATTCCATAGTGCGTATACTCGAGCAAGACTAGCTCTCTTTGGACCTTTGCTGAACAAGGCATTCAAACCGGCTGGAAAAGGCGAAAGCAAAGATAGAGGAAGGACAAGCAGTACAGCTAGAAAAGTCCCAAGAGATACCCAGTAGAATAAAACTAAAGTAAGAAGGGTAACAAATAGATCTGCCAATAGTAAGATAGTGATCAGCAGCTGTACAGTGTCCTGAAACACGTAATAAGATGCAAGGTTAGATTAATGATTAAATCAAATTCTCAAATTTTATAACTTCACAGTACCTGACGACCAACTGGGCGGGTATTGTGCAATAGCAAAGAAAATGGGAAGAGATAATCCCTTCTAACATCCAGGGATTTCACAGTAGTATCATTAATGAGACCACCATTCATTCCACCAGTAATCTTTTTGCGGGATAATGCATGACTTGCACATTGCTGGCTTTCTAGAGGTTGCCTAAGACTCCTCCTTACTATTGTTGCAACGTTCCTGTAAGACATACAATCAAGGATATTATAACAGAAGTCAGTCTTTCATTTCAATGCTTTTGAAATTTGTTAGTATGATAGCGGAAGAAGCCTAGCATCTCTAACCAGAAATTCCTTGCCAAATGCACAATGCATAAATCAGAGCGTACACACAGAAGCATCTTTTTTATAAAATAAAACAAATTATAGACAAGCTCGGCGCTTTACTACTCAGATCCATCTCCTTTCAAGAGTCAGCTATCCAAATTCTTTCAGCATCATCTAATTCATCTTTCACACCCAAGAACAAAGTTTGCAAGGCTTTCCAAGTGGTAGCATATGGTCTAAGTTAAGACAGCACTTACATGAAACTTCAAGGTGGGAACATATAAATCCAAAAGATTTAGAACAATTTAGGAAGTTTCAGAAAGAGCGTTGCAAAGATTTAAGTAGNCAGAAAGAGCATTGCAAAGATTTTAGTACAGAGGAAGCTTCTACAGTAATCAACAGGAAAAAAAGAGCAATATTCAGGGTCTCATCAAGACTACCTAGAGAAGTCATCACAGCTTTCTGAGACTTCAGATTGTGGGAGATCATAGAGAGAATGATCACCAGCCAGCACCAAAATACCCAATTGGTAGTACCCGCTAGCGGTTGCTTGGAACCACCCAAGCTCGATCTTAACACCATGAAACTCAAGCTGGGGGTTTCCATGACTTCTAACCCAATTCAAGACAGGTAGGAGCGCAGAGCGGATTGACCCATGCCTCACAGTTCTCAGCTGGGCATTCAAACCAGCTACCAGCCGATTCCAAACAGTTGAAGGTACATGCTGGAAACAAATAAGATCTTTTGTCTTAACAATCAAGAAACCAGATTGTGGCAACTGCTAATACAAAATCAACGCACAAGAATGTCAACAGACCTGAGCAAGGAGATTTGTCAATAACGTGTCGCTGTGAAGATTATATGGTGACATGTAACTTCCATCACCACCGAAGATAATGCACATGGGAAATCTCTTCTGTATACTTGCTACTATGTCTAAACGTTTCTCATCACCACCGAGGAAGAAATCAATATAAGCAACCATCAAGTCAGGTGTTGCTCCAACCTGTAACACACTCATTAAATCATGCAACATAATTTGCAGCTAAAATGCAAATCCTGTCCACCAAATTGGGAGGACTGAGGTTTCCATGACATAGCACATCTACAAGTATTATATCAACAGATCTTAATTTCATGCTAAGTTCTTTGAAAAATTAAAACTTGATTATCTGAATTAGATGCTCCAAGAAGTCCTACAACCTACTTCCTGTAAAGTATTAACATGATGGAGGTTTAAAGCCACAAACAAATGGATGCTTCAAATCTACCATATCCATTATGCTCTCCCCACCCCGTCCCGTTCCTTATCTTTTTTAAAAAAAATTTAGAGGGCTTGGGGGACTTAACCTCTAACTAAGAAAAGTTCGCATTTTGTCCAAAGCACAAGATGCAATAAGAATCTGACACTTCGCACAGAGACATGAGAAGCACGAGAAAACATTCTTAAAGAGAATGCAAAGAAAACCAAAATCCACCACATCAAACTTGAGATAATCACAATAAAGGCTACTACAGAAATAGAGTTAATAGACAAACCTTCATTCCTTTGTATAAAGCACGTGAACGGCAGGACCGTAAACAAGAATGATCATATTCTGACTTAACATACTCCTGAAGGCGATGAATTTTGCTTCTCCTCCGCCATTGTTTCCAAGACCATGCGCAAGGATATGCAAGGACAGAAAGTATGCTATGCACTGAACCCTCCCACCAATCATATGCAGCAACTGAATTGATCTCATCTATGAATCTGTTAAAAGCATCTTCATACCTGCAATTTCATGTCAATAAAGAAATGCTGAAGTTAGTGACGGGGAGCTATTGAGTATTCCCTAACTGATATGGCTCGCTAATAAGTCAAACACTCTCAGAACTTCATAATAAAGTTCATCTTACGAGAGAGATATGTATCTGTTCAAGTGATATACCAAGTATGTTGAGTGATCATTGATTGATACCTATAATGGGAATATGGCCTAATACGAGTTTCAAATTTAGTATTATTCAGAATCAAGTAGATATTACTTCTTACACAATCTCAATAATGGCATCAGGGGGTGAGTAAGGAAGATGCCAGGGTCCACGGAAGGTATTGGGGCCCATAAAATACATCCTGTGGACATGACTCTGAGTTTCGTCTGTTCTAGCACCTCGGACCTTGAAATTAAAAAAAAATTTAGAAGATGAAGAACATTACCAAGCGAACATACAGCTTTTGAGATTTTGACAAAAGATAAAAGAACATACAAATGCTCCGAGTTTTGTACCTCGGACAAGGATAGGAGATGAGGGAAATGGTGATGACTGTGATGGTCCATTGAATTTGAAGTGTTATAAGAACTCCCTGATCCTACTAGTTTGATTCGCAAAGTACTTAATAAAAGAGCCAGCAGCACAACGATGCACGACAGCAACAGTGAAAAAGGCCATGGGCCTCCAAATGTGTATATGAGCTCCTCCAAAGGTGTATAGCAGTTTGGCATCCTATACTTATCAGTGATACATTTATAGGGGCAAGGTGATTCAGTTACTCCTCCTGCAGCAGCAGTTGAGCCCGTTAATTGACTTCAATACAGCATACTCTCAAAAGATTTGAGAAAGCAAGCAACATCACATAGAGTAATCATTCAAAAAAAGAAACTGAAGAAGACAGCACCATTACCTCGCCTATGAATGAAATAAGCACGTCTAGGAAGGAGCTCCATGGAACAGGGAATACACAGGGAAGGGTCCGATCCTTCAGCATTTTTGTATGTTCCAGTAGGGCATTCCTGATTAAATTTAATGGGGATGATAGATATAATCACAATTGACCAGATGGAAAATATCTAATTTTCATAGGGGATACTAATGGAATAATAGCAACAATATTATGACAACAGATTGCTACTGAGAACTGTAAGATAAAGCTGAATAATTTTGATAACACTTCACAGTTGCACTTGGTCCAATCTACGCTTTACGAGCTGCAGGATTCCAACTTCTTTAAGGCACTAACATGTCCAGAGAGAACCATTTTGTAGATTAGGGGCCTTCATCAACTGAACTTAAGAGAGAAGATCGACGAAGGCTTTGGATTTTAAAGGAAAGGTCGAAAAGGACTATAAGCCAAGTCATAAATTCACGGTCAATCGCTTCAAAATCATGAGTAATGCCAAAACATTCTTCACTGGCCAAACAAGATCTCTATCCTAAGGAGAAATATAATAGGGTAAGGCACAATTCTTGGCGGGAATTTCGCCCGCATCCGATCGCCAATTTTTGTTCACCCCGGATGATCGTGTTGGGTGAATTGTAACCGTATGATCGTGTCGGGTGAGCAACAGCCGCTTCCTCACAGTATTTACTTATGGGCTAACAGGTTACACTTGGTTCATCTACCGATCAATTAATTTCTTAAGAGTAAAACTTGTAAGTAAGCAACAGATAGGGTAAAAGGTAGTGATTAAAAAATATAGGGTAAAGCAATAACAAAACAGTGTAGTATGAAAATTACCGTACAGAATGTACCGTACAAGCCCTTAGGACACTTCCTTCCAGTTACTGTGCCTTTCTCTCCACGAAGACCACCACCATCACCGGTACCTCCACTGTAATAAATTGAGAAATACACCAGTTTAATGCCAAAAGACTATTTACTGAAGCAAAATCTGCAAACTTATCATACGCAACTTTTCAAATCATAACATCACTTTTCTTTTGATCGGTTGATCATAACATTATATAAAAACCAGTTAAAATTGGAGGACGCTGTAGCAGGAAAGAGCATTTGGCTGATCAGGACAGCCAGAAAAACCTATCACCAGGTACTATCAACTTCTTCCACCTTTAGAAAAATGAGTAGTCAGGTATACTGTAAAAAGGAGTTGCATTACTCCCTCTGTCCCACTTTATGTGGCACAGTTAATATTTGGAGAATCGAAGGAATTTTCTTTGACCGCAATTTTTTCATTTACCTTTTGAATGATTTGGATTATTAATTATTGTGACTCATAGTACTTTTACGTAGTTTCTAAATATATAAATTTTACTTCAAAAACTTGAAGATTCTATGTCCAACTTCACACCGAAAACTAGATAGTTTGACCCTCGTACTCTGAATCGTGTCACATAAAGTGGGAGAGGGAGCAATATTCAAGACACATCTCTTTTCTTGGCCGGTTTAAGACTCACGTCTCTTATATTCATTAAGATAGCTTTTTTGACAAAATCATGCTACTTATTGAAGAACATTACAATTTTTATAGGTTAAAAATATATATTTTTAATACTGCACCAAGATGATTCCACAAAATTACAAGTCAAGAAACCAAGCACGTTATATATCTGAAGTACAACCTTGCAAAGAGATCAACTTATCGACAAACTCATGAATATTGACAATGCATGTCAAATGCATTTATCTTAATGACAATATTTGGATGGCTACATTTTAATCCAACTAAGGGGAGGGGAAGGCTGAATTAAGAGAGTACATATCTGGTCTAATTCTGTAAAATATGATAAAACGATTTACGTTTTAATTCTCAATGTGAAGTACTGATGATATACTACCTGTAAGTAAATTGATATTTCCTCATTCCAATTATTTTATTTTATTTTGAAAGGATTGAAAAGGATGACTTGGAGGGGTACACCAACCCCTCAAATTTTACTTTGCTCCTCTTTTGCAGTTTTATGACTTACCAATAAAGGGAATAACACATAATCCTCCACATTTAATCCCACCCCTCTGACACTCCTCTTTTCACCCTACCAAACATAGAGCTCTACCAACTATCAGGCAAATGTGTATGAGCAGAAACTTGGCCAATAAATAGGAAACTCTTGGTTGGATGTTAAAGCAATTTACTTGACGGTGGGACTATTGCAAGCGACATCTGCTGATTTTCATTTTTACAGATGGTTCAGGCAGCTTTAATAGAGGCCTCGGGAAAATATGAGCATCTCACATTTGTCATTTGAAAGTATTCGAAGATGGGAACTAAATAAGGATGAAGCCTGTGAAAAGGATCTACGGAAATTATTGGTTGCAGGGCGAGAATCTTAATGAAATTTATGAAACTCAGTTCCTGCAAGAGGAAGACTAGTAAAAGTTGCAAGATCAAAGAATAGTTGTTCTATAGGATATGAAAGGATATGTCAGTTCCTTTTCTTCACGTACCTCTGATGGGACAAGGAACCAGGAATATTTAACAAAAGCACAACTAAAACGAAGTGTCTCAAGGAGAAAAAGGAAATTTTTGAAATTTTTTTAAAATGAATTTCTAATCAAACCTCTAGATACTGCATGCATACTCAAAAGAAAAAGGAAAAGCTAAGGAAAGGGAACATCCGGCAAATAATTCACGTGAAGACTAAAGAACTTAAGAAATACGAACTGTAAATTGCACAAGTACCACGAACACAACCTACCTATGGTCAATGGTTCCATTTACAGTTGCAAGAGGGACATACTCCTCACCCATGTTTATCTTAGACCAATGAAAATGAACTCTGCCACCACCACCACCACCTCCACCCAGTGGGCCACCACAGCCTCCAACAACTGATAAAGCTGAGTTGTCCATAAGGGCAAGAGCTTGAAGAAAAAGTAGAATTGTTCCTCCAGAACCACCACCAACTCCACCAGCAAGTGTACCATTACTGTTTCTGCTTGGGGTACAACAACTTTGACCATCAGCCTTCATAGTTCCGTAAACATCAAGTCTGAAAAGAGGCCACTGGCTGGATCCCAACACTGGCAAAGACGAAAATAATACTCAAAAAATAAGCTTGTGAATAACAGACCATACACATCTCAGTCATTTCTGAGAACTTTATACACATTTGTGCATTATTACTTTTTTATTAGTCTCCATTAACAAACTATTAAAAAAGAAAACATACACTAGGCAACATTATATAAGTGAGTTGCAGGGATTACTAGAGAAAATGGTGCTAAACCCTGTGATTCCCCCTAGTATCAACCAGCCTAGGCAAGAACGTGATTAGGTAGTAACCTGAACTGCTAATTACTCTTAGAATGGAGGATTAACCGTCCATTCTTACCCTTTCTTTTCTATCTAATCTATTGTTGGGACAATAAGTCTACATGCTTTTTTTATGCAACTAAAACAGATAGAGAGGAGATGTGAGAGTCTGCAGACAACAAATCGAGCAAATGTTTGTTGTATTTGAACTTGAAATACAAAATTAGAAAGCAATTAGAAGTTGAAATGCATTATTGGGAACCCATTCTTCGAAAACAGTCCAAGAAGGATTCATGCTGGAATCTGACTACATTGTCTCACTGTTAAGAGCCCCAAATTCAGAGTATGACACTGGGATGACTTCTATAGAATCACCATCTTAGACATCGCATAATCAGCCAAGGCAGACACCAACCACACCACATAACGAGTATGGAAACCCATATACATTAAAAAAGAACTTGAAAGTCCCATAACACTAGTATGCGAAGAACTTACTTTCTTGATTTAACATAGAAAAGACAAGTGGAGGAGTACTTAATACTCATTAATCTGCAAAGGATAATGTGGGATTTGCGGAGTAAAACTATTTTTTAACTATACATTAATTTCTCATTGCATTCTATTTTAGTCGTCAATCTCACCCAGATATTTGACGCATTCCACCACATTGGGTTCTTCAAATAGATTACTGATAAGTGACAACTAATTACTAACCTACTCTCCACCCGCACCACTTATAACCCAAAAACAATTAAGCAGGAATTCTGGAGTCCACTATCTAAGCATCACAATTCAATTTCGCTGCACATGACCTAGCAGATAAACAGTAAACTAGTGGTTCAGAAACCAAGATGTGAACAAAAAAGGAATTTGTTAATTTGATGAAAATAAATATAGAAGAATGTGCTGATATACCAGCGTCCATAAAACATAAGATAAGCTTAGTAATAAGTAAAATATGTTACCAATTATCCCCCCTCCAATAACAGGTCCATAGGACTGGCCTGGACCTTCACTCCCACTGCCCAACTCGCAGGGAAGATCAGCACTGCCGTATCTTTGACCACCTTCACTCAGCCTCCCATTGAAAAATCCCGAACCACCTCTTCCTCCATGTCCAGCACCACCACCTGCTCCATTTGAGTAGTTTCCCATGCCAACACCTTTACTGCAACCTGAAAGTGAACCACAAGATGAGACATTTTAGAATCCTCTCTCCTGCTCTTGGGGGCTCAGCACAGGAGCAGAGTCAAAATAATCAGAAGCGCCCAAGAAAAAAGAAAGCCGAAAAATGAAAAATCACTGGCAAATGCTAATAATGCTTGAACGTCATGACCTAATTCAGAGGCAGTTATGGCCCCATCATTGTCCACAATGACAGTTCTGGCTCTGTGAACATGAATAATGCTACCCCTGATGATGCCCGTGACAAGAATGTCCTCCACTCGACAAATCTGCCATTAGCAGACAAGGAAATGAAAAATTAGCCCCAAGCAAGACAAGGAAATGATTAATATTCATTTCCTAGGGATACGAAAAAATCAAGGAGTGTGAAAGCATCACTAATATTCATTTAATCCATTTTCTATAATCCTAAATATTAATATATTAAGACAAGGAAATGAACAATCAATCTCAAGAAATGTGCAACTTTTTTGGGGGCCTAAGAAATCGAAGAGAGCAAAAGCATAACAGAATTCAGCTGGCTTTTCTGTGAGCCTAAACAGGGCATCTATCCCAATTGACCATTGTTAGCTTTATCAAGCAGAGTAACAGATGAAAACTGTGTGATATACCAGAACGAATATATATGTGTGTGTGTGTATGAGTTGAGTTAAATGAAGGGAAAGAGAATTCATATGGCCGGCCCCAACTTGTATGGGACTGAGTTGTTGTTGTTGTATGTGTGTGTGTGTAGTGCTGACCAGCTTGTGCACACCTCGGTAGTACTAAATAGCTCTAACCACCAAAGCTTACGCAGATGGAAAGAAATTACCTAGCTATGTTTTGTCTCTTCTGGAATTTGAAGGTCTCCGAGGTTATTACCCACTTCATTGCCACACCCTTGGGTGTAAAAAAAAATGAAATATTGACATAATCCAAAAAGAAATATATTTTAAAGAAGTAAAGGAAGTGTGAATCCTCTCAATAATTTTGTTCCATTTCATAGATCTACCTTCTAATTCATGGTCATCTCTCCAATCAATCTTCTATGAGGTATAACTCAATCATGCAAGAAAATGGGGAATCTCGAATTAATAAGAAGATGCATTTTTTAGATACATTTTTAATGTATAATCATACATCTAAGCCACACACATTATTGGCAGTAGACAAAGTACAATATAAGTTTCTCTTACTTGTAGCGAAAAGGACAGTGTGTAATTGACATGGCAATCATCAGGTGGAGTAATCAAATCCATCGGACAGCTCGTGCTATCGCACAGAGATTCAGTCACCCTATTTGGAGTCAAGGAGGTTAAAATGCCATAAATGAAACAA